AACTCTATGCCATTTCCTTGAAGATGTTTTTTTTTATCTCCTTTCAGCTTAGGCTAGCCTAGTATAAATAAGCTTTAAGCAGCCAGCTCCCTACTTTCTCTTCTTTGGACCTTACCATGGTATCCCTAACTGTCCAATAAAATGCACTCCTTCCACAGCTCAGAGGAGAAAATGTGTGGGACACCCTTAACACCACCCCCCACCAAAAAAAAAAAAATCTGAGAACTTAAACATCCCTAGTCAGGTCAGATCTTCCTACTTAATCTGTATACATACATGCATACCCACCTGTGCCTTCGTGCATGCCCACATGCTTTTCGGTTTTTCTGGTCTTATAATAGGTTCATCCCCAGGGTGCACTGGAACAAAGGCACACAAAAGAGACAACAAAGTCCCTGCCCTAATAAAGGTGACGGGGGGATGTGGGAGGTTGCACAAACAAATCTATAGCATGTTAGATGGTGTTACGTAAAGTCTACATAACATGTTAGGTGGTGGTAAGTAAAATAAATGGCATCTTAGATGGAGAAAAATAAAGCTTGTTCTTAATCTGTTTACGGTGTTGTTGTGTGCCACCGAATTGATTCCAGCTCATGGTGACCCTATAGGATGGAGTAGAACTGCCCCATAGGGTTTTCAAGGCTGTAATCTTTACAGAAGCATATTGCTCCTTTATCTGTTTATGGTGGTCTTAATTATGATATACCTTTACGTTTCTCTTTGTAAAGTTAAAGTGCTTAGGAGAAATCTGTTGTTTTAGTTTCCATAATTATGTATGCATTAATATTCTTCGTTTCTCCATTTATTTAAAATTATGTTATTTTGCTTTCAGCTCAGTTCTTATTACTGACTCCGAATTTTAATCATTTTCTGTCTAGCTTCCCTTTACTCCACTGAAATGCTCTCTCTCATTCAAGTCATAAGTAAGTTCCATGGCACTAATATGAGGGTGTTTTCTGGTCCTCATCTTCCTTGACTTCTCTGGCGTACTCCTTCCTTCTTGAAAAACTCTTTATTTTTAGCTTCCATAACACAGTGTTCTCCTGGACATATGTCCGTTATTTCTGGCTGTTCCTTTGCTCTTCTACCTTGGTTTTAAATACTGAAGGTTCTCAAGCTAAACCCTCTTTTCACTGTACTCTCTGATTGGGCAATCCCATTCATACCTGTGGCTTTGGTTACTGCCCTTAAACATGACCCCCAAATGTATATCAGCAATGCTAACCTCTCTGCTCTGGGCAACAAACCTTTATATCCAGCTATGTACTTGACACCTCCTCTTTGATTTGTCAAAGGTATCTTGGTTTCAAACAGCCAGTGCTGTACATATGGTGTTTTCCCCTCAGCCCCCTCAGAACAACCCCACAAAAATAAACAAAACACCACCTCCATCGACTTGCAGAAGTCAGAAACTTGGGAGTCATCTTTTATACCTCCCTTCCCCTCCCCACCATCACCTCCCCTGTTTCCATATCTGTAGTCCATCACCAGTTCTGTTACCTTAGTTATCTAGTGCTGCTATAACAGAAATACCCAAGTGGATGCCTTTCACAAACAGAAATTTATTCTCTCACGGTTTAGGAGGCTAGAAGTTCAAATTCAGGGCACTAGTTTTAGCAGAAGGCTTTCTCTCTGTTGGCCCTGGGGGATGGTCTTTGTCTCCTTTCAACATCTGTGGGCCTGGTGTTCCTTAGAGATCTCCATGTGTCTTGACATCAGTTTTCGTTTGGGTCTAGGAGATTCTCAGAATAGGGACCCCAGGTCCAAAGGATGCATTCTGCTTCCAGCTCTTCTTTCTTGGTGGTAGTCAGGTCCCTACCCTCTCTGCTTGCTTCTCTCTCCTTTTACCTCTTGTAAAAGTTAAAAGGTATGACTCAAGCAAGGCTGTGACTTAAGATACAACCTCATACTGATCCTGCCTCATTAACATATAGAGGTTAGGATTTACAACACATCACAAAACGGAGGACAGCCACACAATACTGGTAATCATGGTCTGGCCAAGTTGACACATATATTTAGGGGACACAGTTCAATCCATGATGTATATTTACCTGTAAAAATCAAATCCCTCCAGTTCCACTTTCCCCATCACCATCTTAGCCCCAGTTATAATTAGTTCTGGATTTCTGAAGTAGCCTCTTCTCTGGCTTTTCTCTAATCTGTTTTTCACCTTTTAGCCAGAAATGTATTTCAAAATTGCAAATTGGATCATGTTACGCCTGTGTTGTTAATGATTTTCCATTTCTTTGAGGAAAAAGGCAAAGCTGTGATATGGCGTACACAGCCCACAGTGTCGCCACTAGTGGATTCTGCATTTCTCTCACCATGTTTCTTCTCTTTTCCTTTGCTCTAATATGTCTGACTAGTTTCACCGTACTCCCTTCTGCCATTGCACCTTTGTACATTCTGCTTCCGCTACCTGGAGTACTCCTCCCTCCCTTCTTTCACTAATCCTGCTTATCCTGTAAATCTCAGCTCATGCTGCTTCCTGAAGGAAACCCTCAAATTTCCTAACACTATATATGTCTCATAACCCATGTCACAGTTGGAGTTTTCCATTTATTTCATGTGATTGGTTTTTTTTTTTCGCTTCTAGGTGTATTTTTATTGTACTTTAGATGAAGGTTTACAGAACAGATAGTTTCTCATTAAACAGTCAGTACACATATTGTTTTATGACGTTGGTTAACAACACCACGGCGTGTCAACACTCTCCCTTCTCAACCTTGGGTTCCCTATCACTAGCTTTCCTGTCTCCTCCTGCCTTCCAGTCCTTGTCACTGGACTGCTGTGCCTCATTAGTCCTGTTTTGTTTTATGGGGCTGTCCAATCCCCGGCTGAACGGTGAACCTCGGGAGTGACTTCACCACTGAGTTAAAAGGGTGTCCGGGGGCCATACTCTCAGGGTTTCTCCAGTCTCAGGCCAGTAAATCTAGTCTTTCTTTTGTGAGTTAGTTTTTTGTTCTACATTTTTTTCCACCTCTGTCTGTGATGCTCTGTTGTGTTCTTTGTCAGAGTGGTCAGTGGTGGTAGCCGGGTACCATCTAGCTGTACTGGACTCAGTCTGGTGGAGGCCTTGGTAGCTGTGGTCCATTAGTCCTTTGGATTAATCTTTTCCTTGTATCTTGTTTTCTTCATTCTCCCTTGCTCCCGAAGGGGTGAGACCAGTGGAGTATCTTAGATGGCTGCTCACAGGCTTTTAAGACCCCAGATGCTACTCACCAAGGTAGAATGTAGAACATTGTCTTTATAAACTGTGTTATGCCAATTGAGCTAGATGTTCCCCAAGACCGTGGTCCCCCCAGCCCTCCACCCAGCAATTCAGTCCCTCAGGGAGTTTGAATGTGTCTATGGAGCTTCCATAACTTTTCTTTGTACAGGTTGTGCTGGCTTCCCCAGTATTGTGTACTGTCTTACCTTTTGCCGAAGTTACCACATATCTATTGTCTATTTAGTTCCCTCCCCCACCCCTCCCATCCCTCTTAACCAACAAAGATTGTTACATTTTGTGTGTGAACTTTTTCATGAGTTTTTATGATAGAGGTCTCTTACGGTACTTGTCCTTCTGTGATTGACTTATTTCACTCAGCATAATGTCCTCCAGTTTGATCCACGTTATGGGATGCTTCACAGATTCATCATTGTTCTTTATCGTTGCATAATATTCCATTGTGTGTATGTACCATAGTTTATCCATTCATCTGTTGATGGGAATCTAGATTGTTTCCATCTTCTTGCTATTGTGAACAATGCTGCCATGAACGTAGGTGTGCATATGTCTATTTGACGACTCTTATTTCTCTAGGATATATTCCTAGGAGTGGAATTGCTGGATCGTATGGTATTTCTATTTCTAGCTTTCTAAGGAAGCACCATACCATTTTCCAAAATGGTTGTATCATTATGCATTCCCACCAGCAGTGCATAAGAGTTCTGATCTACCCGCAGCCTCTCCAACATTTGTTATTTCCAGTGTTTTTGATTCGTGCTAGTAATGCTGGGGGTGAGATGGTATCTCATTGTGGTTTTAATTTGCATTTCTCTAATGGCTAGTGATCCAGAGCATTTCCTCATGTGTCTGTTGGCCACATGTGATTGTTTGTAAATGTTCTTCCCTCCATCCGCCCCCATCCGTAAGGGCAGGTATAGCGTTTGTTTTTGCTCCTCGTTTTATCCCCCGCACCTTGCGCAGTGCCTGCCACACAGTGGACACTCAGTAGGTGTTTGCTGACCGACTGCATCGCAGAGGCAGAGGTTGAGCATGTGGGGTGGATGCTTTTGAAGCACTTTCTTGTGGGAACCCTAAATAAAATGCCCCTAGTAATTTCATTGTATGTGCATTACAAGAGGTCTAGCCTACTTTTTAGTCTTCCAGTGGATTTTAAAATGACTGTATCTTAATAATTCATAGACCTACAATAATGAAATAGAAATTTTGTAAATTATCTTAGGTCTTCTTTGCAAAAATATTTAATCAGTCACATTAATATCCTTAGTCATCCAAAAATCTTGTATTATCTGCATCTTCGTGGCTTACTGAGTGGGAATTTCGCTTTTCAAAAGAATATTATCTTAAAATATAGCAATGATATGTACTGTTTAAAGTTTATTCTATTTTAGTATGTTCTCATGTGCAAGCTTTCCTGAACTTAATAAATTTTAGATGTAAATTGAAATTTTATATGCATTTTACTGTTATTTAGTGTATTTCTTGGCATTTATTAATACTCATGGCAGGTAGTCTTGCACGTTTTTAGAGTCATTTCTTTCAGTTTAGAAAAGAATATTTTCTAATACTGATGCATTTTGCAAAGTGATTGCATTATCTATAAGATTTTTTTAAAATTTTCAGCATTAATGTTCACCATTCTGCAGTAACATGGTGCACCTTGACTTTTTTACTTCATTTTATTGCAAAAATCAGTATGCTTTTGAAAGTATAACAGTAAATTTTTTCAGGGATAAAGCAGCATGAAGTTTGCTTCTTTTTTATACAGATCCTGAAATGGAAGGTGAAGAACAGCCATCCTCTGAAAATGAGTCTCAGAATCAGAGTGCTGAACAGGTTACATCAAGTTCTCAGGAGGTTGATTTGGTTGATCCAGAGTCTCCTGAGGAGAGTTCTCTAAACTCTCACCCAGAATCATCAGAATCATTATCTCCAGCAGAGATGGACAGTGCTGCAGGCATTTCCCCTTCTGAACAGAATTCTAATCCCACAGAAAGCCATGAGACTACAAGTCTGGATGATGAATGTACAGATTTAGATAACCAACCTCAAGAACAATCAGAAACTGAGGAAGATTCCAATCCTAATGTTAGCTGGGGTAAAAAGGTCCAGCCTATAGACTCCATATTAGCAGACTGGAATGAAGATATAGAAGCATTTGAAATGATGGAGAAGGATGAACTATGACTCACTAAGGAATCTGGTGGTAGGTATTTAAAAAGAAAAGGTAAACTGTGGTTAATAGACACCCTAATACTAAGCAGGCTGTCTAGTGGGAGGCGTTAAGTATGGTGATGAGCAACCACGTTCTGACTGGGATAGTTATTATAGGAATCAGAGCATGTTGTGTTAGAATTGGCCTTGTTTAAAACTGCCCCATCGAAAATGGAAACTCATAGTTCCTCCCTCAAACGGCAGCATTGCACTGTCCTGCAACACCTCAGGCTAGGGAAAGATTACTGGGCGTTTCTGGGAACCAGATTGCTGCAGTCTCTGGATAGACAAAAACCAAATTTGGTTAATAGTGGAGTGGGGAATAGGAATTTGTATAGCTTTCTAATTAAAGGAAGCTTGGCTTTCTTGGTTTTAGGGTTAGAAGCTCTTTTGGGAAGAGACATGAGCATTGTTGGCATTCTGGTTATGCTGCCTTCACAAAAACACTCAAGTGACTTAAGTGGTTATGAAGCAAATGCGTTCATGGTGAGAACAGTCTTTGCTCATCACTTTCTTGCTTCATTCAGTGACAAGTAATCAAGGTGACTTGATTTTTTTCCCCCCGTCTTAACAGTGTCCTTTTTATTTAAACCAAAGGTGAAGCCAATGTACTTTCTCTGTGTGCTCTCTGCATAAAGACTAATCAGTGGGACCAGGTAAAAAAGTCAGATAATATATTGTGGAAATTGGTTACTTAATGCTTTGGAAAAATTGGAGCTAGGGAGAAATTATAATGTTGCAGTATGAACTTCCCATTGGGAAAGGTATGACTACTCTGAAATGGAATTTAGCGTTATATCCTTGTAGGGTAGATTATAAATCTTTTCCAATTCATTTCTCTTAGAGGTGGTTACCTCTAGCCATAGCCTTATTCCATCCCATGTTTAGTATGCAATTTGAGCCACAAGGCCTGTGTTGCCAACAGCTGAATACATTTTGTTCCATTTTTCTATCTTATGGAGCCATGATGAAACTGTGGTAGTGATCTAAAAATCCTGGAATAACTACTCGTTTTTGTTTTTTTTTTTTTGAAACTTTGGTTTCTAAAGTTGCACCTAAGGAATCTGTCACATTTTCTGTTGAATCATGCTTTTTAGGTTTGCTTTTTTTTTTCCTTCTGATATGGACCTGAATTAGCCTATGGTGACTTGTGTAAAAGAAACCTACACAGTAGTAATTAACATATAGCTTAATGAGAATTTTTTCTTTCTTTTTTTTAAATTTAAAAATTTTTTTGTGGCAATCTGGTGCTGGCCACATTTAAGCTTTAAAATGTTGTTGTTAATATCTGTAGACGAACCTGTAGTTGAAATCATGGCTTTACCCATTTTATTTATTTGTTTAAACTTACCTGAATCAGTTCTAAAGGAATATTTGAGACTTAGTTTCCTTTTTATTTCCCATTACATTACACAGTAACCTTTCCTAACACAGTTTTGAGGTACTGATGAACTTAAACTGTATATCGAGCTGTTAAAAGAACAGCAGTGCTGTATTGTAGTTATGTATATTCATGTACAGTGTGTCTTAGGTCCCAGGTAAACTAATTCTTTTATAAGGGGTTAAATAGCTGTTTTCGAGAATTCCAGCTAAGCATAAATTGGGTCCGTGAGTAATAAATCTAATAGAGAATTCACTTTGGGGGAAAAAAAGAGTAGACGTATACAAGATCTTTATTGGCCCTTAATTAAACCTGACACCAAAATGGATTATTTTTAGTCTCTTTGCATGTGAAATTTGGTGTAAGAAGATAGAACTATAATAAATACAGTATAAAGAAGGATAGACATAGTGCTTTGTTCGTCTTAATTGCAAAGCTGCCAAAATAGTGGAAGCTTAATTAGTTGACTTGCCTTGATTTATATGACTGGGGCTTGGCGAAAAGGAGCAGATGTTCCTTTAAGACTTTGATTACAGAAGCCTTATATTCATTGCTTTGGTTTTTGTATTTGCAGCTCAAAGCCATTGTTGTCTAAATCTAACTTTTCTAAGTTACCAAAACAGCATTTTTTCCCAGCAAGGAGAACTTAATGGCATGAAGGATCTTGTGACACAGAAGCCAGTTTACTGCCACACTCCCTTCTTCTGGCCATTAGGGGGAGTTGTTGCCTTTCATTGAGGTCTAGAAGCAAATTGTTCACTTCTGTAGAAAAGTTAATTCTTTCAGAAAAAAGAAAAAATTAACATATTATACTTAATACCCAGAAGGAATCATACTTGATTTTTCTCTAGTTAAGAAATGAAGGTGTAATGTTCAACTTCAAAACCCCAGCACTGTAACTGATTCTACATTCATTTACTTGACATACTGCCATGAAGTAGTTTTTGAGTTCATTAAAAAATTCCAACAGCATTAGTTTTTTTTGTTTTTTTTTAATGTTTTATTTTTAAATACCTTTTTAGACATTTTATTTGCTTCCTAAAGATTCAGGGGTTTCTATGAGACCCTGAATTTAGAAACATCTGGTCTACCTCAGTTAAATGTTAACTTCTTAAAGATTGAGCTGAAGTGATCACCACAGCCATAAAATGGTTTGACTAAGAAGGATTTATATAATGTTTACAAACTTGGAATCAAGTAAGGATTTTATCCGAAAGTTAAAAGTTCGATATTAGAGCAAGTATTTAATTCAGGTATTTTCAAGTTTTGAAACTTAACTTGTTTACCTACTAAAAATAAGATAGCTATAGTTTTTTCTGCTTGTAAAAGTCCATTGAAATGATCGACCCTAATTTGCAATACTTTTCCCATGAAGTTTTAAGTGTGAAAGAATGGTAATTTACTGGATATGTCTGGGGTGGGATAGTTTGTTGGGTAGGGTTTTGTTTTAGTTTTTTTTTCCTTCTCTTTAACCTTTAATAGGCTTCCGACAAGAGTACAGTTGTTGTTTCAGAACAAATTATTTTTTGACATGCATTTCCTGTTTTCTTCACAGTATTAGAGAGTGAAATAAAAAATGTACACTGATTTGAACTTCTCTGGCATAATTACTCTCTTGAGAATTTTTTTTAAAATTTAAATTACCATCATACAACCCTTTTTACAGTAAAACCAGCATTTGTTCTCTTACCAAACCCCATGCCAAATTCATCATTTAAAAAAGCTCAGCATAAGTAATTCACATAGCACTCATAATTTTTTGGGAGGGGAGAGGGGAGAACTTAGTAAATATTCCAAGCGGTCGTTTTATGCACAAGGCTTCAGTCAGAACATAGAAAAAAAAAAAAACATTCTGTGAATGAAATATTGTATGTTCAGATTTTATAAAAAGACATTTTTAAAAGCCCAATTTACAGCCGTATATTTTCTTATGATGTAATTTATGAAAAAGATGTCTGTACTAACAGGTGCTGTAACACTACTGTTGTTGGATTTTATTGTTTGGTGATAAATGTATGCAATATTTCTAGGGGAAACTACTGTGATGTAAAAGTCTGGGCAAAATGTATATAATCCTTGTATATAATTGTGTATTTGATTATAATTACTGATTGTAAAGATTTAATAAAACATGTAAATATTCCAGTCGTTTTAATTTTAATTTTGAGCATTCATGTACATGTCTTTATATCTTTAAAAATTTTTTAACCACCCTATCTTCCCTTTTAAATTTTTTCATTTTACCCAGAGGAGTGAATTTTAGATGTCGAAACCCGGGAATACATTGAATAGTTCCACAGCTCAACTAGTGTGAAGGGTCCTCAGAATAGAATTGAAGGAGTATTAGTAACTCAGTGTCAGTATTTGTAACATGGCTGTGTTTTGTGTTTACTTAGATTTGATAAAATCAATTGTCATTTCAATATTGTCATAAAAAGTAACACTAACCCTTGTTAATTCCGGTGAAGCTATTTCCTTTCATTGGCCACTTTTAGGTACTGTGGTTCTGGGCTTTTCATCTGTACTGTGCCGGGGTTTCTAAGCACAGATATCTTGAAAGGCCTAATAATAATTACTATTATTTATTCATAATTATTGTTGAAGATGAGCAAACATTTGAACAAGTTCTAGTCATCTTAGAGACACATTTAGTGGGCAATGCGATGGGAGTCCTGGTCTAGTTCCAGAGCCCATGCTGTTTCCCGTGCGCCTCTTTCCGTTCCTTTCTCAGCCCCTTCCACCCCTCCTCCTACCCCCATTTCAGTGTCTGCTCACCTTTTGCTCAGCCACTACCTTCCCACCTGACCACTTTCTCCTAATCTGAGACTGAAGTTTAGAAATGGTGGCATCCATTCTCAGGCTCTCTGGGCATTAATTCTGGTTGCAGCTTGAACCACTTACACCACCGTTTCAGCAAGAGTTAAAGGATCTGATAGTGTTTCTCACAAGATTTCAAAGGGGAGGTTCTTCTTTGGGTAAGGCAAACTTCAGAGGCATATCATGATGTGTGTCTTCCAGCACCAACTCTTACTAAAAGTCTTGTTTGACACCGACTGCAAATGCAGTTCTTCTGACCGTAACCACTGGAGTTAGGTCAGAGCTCACGCTAAGGGGCACAGGCCACCAGACTGCCAAGTCTGCCCAAGACTTCAAACATCAGCCCCAAGTTCCAGGGTCCCAGCATGCTTGCAGTTCTGACCTGCTGGCTACAAATTTGGTTCCCATTATATCAGCTGCAAGCTCAGGGGTCCCCAGGACACCCTCATTTTTGCTGGCTACAAATTTGGGGCTTCCCAGTACTCTTCAGGCTTGATAATTCACAGACCTCAGGAAAGTACTTAAGATTATAGTTTTAGAGCAATAAGAATACAAAAGAGACTCAGGGTGAGGTCTAGGAGGGTCCCCAACGTGAAACTTCCATGTCCCAAGGGGATGTGTCTTTTCCTCCTTCGTCCCGCTCTCTCTGCATTTATGTCTGTCATCAACCAAGAAGCTCATCCAATGAGGTTTCATTATGTAGACGTGATTGAATCATTGCCCACATGGTTGAATTCAGTCCATTGCCCCCTCTCCCCCTCCACCCCCCAGGTCAGGCTGATACCATGTGGTGAGTCTTTCTGGCATGGCCAGCCCTGACCCATCATGAATCACCTGGTTAGCATAACCTGTCGGATGTGGTTGAAATCCTCCATGAATAACAAGACATTCCTTGTCACTCAGGAAATACCAAGGGTTTAGAGGTTAAAGGAACCAGGTCAAAGACCAAATTCTTTGGGTTAAGTCTTCATCCCATACATACCTACTAAGAGAAGGCTAAGTAATTTAAGGGTTAATTGAGGTTAGTAATTGTCAGCCTCTGCCTGCTAGTTAGCCCTGGTGGCACAATGGTTAAGCACTCAGCTGCTAACCAAAAGGTCAGCGGTTTGAACCCAACAGACACTCTGAGGGAGAAAAGACCTGGCATTCTGTTCCCATTAAAGATTACAGCTTAGGAAACCCTGTGGGGCAGTTCTACTCTGTTACACGGGGTCGCTATGAGTCGGATTTGACTCAACAACATCCTTCTCAAACCTAACTAGCTGGCCTTGCTCTTGGTTAACCCTTGTTAGCCTGAAGTCCTATAGTTGCTATCCTCCCTCTTCAATGAAGTGGCAAATGAGAGGCCACTCATAGACCCTGACACTTTTAACCATAAAAAATGCACTCTTGCCATCCCACATGACCACAGAATTGCTTAAGTTGTGAAGTCTGAAGGTGTATTATATAGCACACTCCTACCCTCGGGCACTGTTCAAGACATAGCAGCAGCAAGTAATGCTGAAAAAATGGCCTGGGTGTAATAGTAGGATGTGATTTCTTGACAAAATAAAACAAAAAAATTTAAAACTTCTCCCTCCCATGGCTGAGGAGAAAACCAAAGTCCCTAAGTAGACTAGTCAAAGATACAGGAATTTAACACCAAGGGATTGATTGATCCTCTCACCCGTGTACTAGCCTTTTGTAGCAACAAGGGCCACATTTTACAGATGAATCCCCACCTTTATCTTGTCTGAACCTCTAAGAAAAGCGGTTGGCCTCAGGGTATAAGAGACAATCAGACAAACTAGCTTATTTTACACTCCCTCTCCCCACTCTTCCTTCCAGCTTTCTCCATTTGTAGAGTAAATGAAGTTCTCAGGTCAGTCCCGGATAGCTGCTGCTCTTAGGAGTGCTAAACTGTTAATTCGGCCACTCTCCTGCCTCACATGAGCATGATTAAAACATTTGTGAAGCCCTGTGATCTCAGTCTCTAATCATGACATCCTATTTTTCCAGCTGTGTCCTCGCCACTGAAGTAATTCTTCAGGACCTCTAACCCCTTGATGCAACTACTTTCTCAGGCTCCATCACCCCTCCTGCTGGCCTCACTTCCCACCTTACCCAGCATTAGCCTCTCTCCTTCTGTTGTATTAGCCTGGAAAAAACCTTAAATCATATTAAACCCAACTACACACTGATTCTGCATCTAAACTTAAGTAGCTAAATGGATCTGGATGAAATCACACCCCACTGCTGATTGGCCTCACTTTAAATCTCAAGTTTAATACTTCCTGAAATTCCAGCCACACTATCCTAGTTTATTTACTTATTCTGAGACTACAGCTTCATACCACCTTTCTTTTCGAATCTCCCATACTCCTCCCCTATGCCTCACCTGATGATGTTGCCACATGCTTCATTGAGAAAATAGATGCAGATGAGAACTACCTCAACTTCTACCAACCTGACTGCTGAATCCACATAGTCTAGATTTGTACTTATGATACAAGTTCTCCTCTGCCTATCCCAGGTCAATTCCTCCACTGGTTCCATCTTGATATTGGAGAACTGGAACCCTAGATCCAAATCAAATAGACTGAAAAATGGAAGAAGCAGGATGCCAGGGTCAACTTGACCACAAAGCTGAAGGAACACCTTCCCTCCCTTACTAATGTTAAATGAAATTTTTAACAAAACATTAATTTTTGTTTGAACTCATTGGCTTTATTTAGCAATTTGAGAATTGGGTAGTATCTAGTTTGAAAGTCAGACCAGAGCTCAGAAGAGCAGTACAAAGCAGAAGGGTTTTATTTCATAGGCAACGGACACACAAGTACAAGGAAGCTATACTGGGCAAAAAGTGATGAGTTAATTCTAAGTTCCTTTCCTTACATGGCATATTGGGAAGTTTCGTAGCAAGGTCGTATACTATAACTGAGGTAGCAAGTGCAGACTGGTTGACTTAGGTTTTAGCTTCTGGGAAGATTAGGCATTTACAGGAAATAGAAACGTAGGTTTCTGTTTGCTTATGAGGGGCTTAGCATAAGTGACTCCATCTAGGGCTTAGTATAGTCAGGTTAACACTTACTACTCCCAGGTAAATACTCTAACCCTGAAGGGAGTATCAAATTGCCTCCATCATTGGGCGCTGAAATACAAATACCGGGCACCACAAATAAACCGGGATGTCTCATTTGAGATCCCATTATCTCAGTCTCCCCAGACCTAGAAGGTATGCTGACTTACGCTCCTTTCTTTTCAGAGAAATTGAGCAATAAAATATTCACCAAAACTCTGTGTAACAAACTCCTTTGTTTGTGTTTTTTTCCTTTTATTTCTACTGCTAGTAGAAGTATAAGTTGGTAGAATCTTTCTAGAAATCAATTCATCAGTACATGTAAAGAGCCTTAAAACTTGATTTCTTTTTAACTCAGGCAAGTAATACTAGGAATCTAAAGGAATAATTAGAGACTAAGACACAGATTTTCATCCTAATACTGTGAAAAAGAGTAAAAAAGTTGAATACAATCTAAATGCCTGTAGAGTAATAAGAAAAGTGTGACACATCTATAAAAACTACTGTGCATTCATTAAAATGTTGTTTACAAAGAGTTTTTTTAATTTCTAAGAACACACTTTTTAATGCTAATTGATTCAGCAAAGAATCATTGCCCGCTTACTTAGGCCCTGGGAATGCCGTGGTGCTCAAGGCAGTTCCAGCTTTTGCTCTCATGGATTTTACAGTCAAATCCAGAAGACAGGCATTGAACAAATAGTTACAAATATGATAAGGGTTATAAAAAGGGGAGGTACTGATACTATGGGAGCATATAATGTGGGGACTTATCCTGGTGGGGGTCAGGGAAAGCTTGTCTGAGGAGAACGATTTAAGCTGAGATTTCAAGGAAGAGGAAGTGGGACAGAAGGAACAACTTGTTCAAAGGCCCTCAGACAGGAGAGGGTGGGGTCTGTTGGTGGAAAATGAAGAGGGCCCAGCAGGCTGGAAGGGAAAGAATGGGGAGATAAGCCTCCAGCTGGGCTGTGATGATGCTGAGGACTTGGGAAGCTTTAGCTTCATGGACGATGATTGTGTGTGTTTCCAAAGACTAATGGTTTGTGAAGTATAGTAAGGATTTTGGACTCCATTTTAAGGGCAGTGAAGAACCGCTGAAAGGTTTTAAACAAGTCAGTGGCATGATGAGGTATAATGCCAAGTGAAGAAAAGTCTGGAATTGTACATAAAGTATGATACCACCTCCGGGTATGTATATATAATATGTATTAAAAAAAAAAAAAAACCGTTGGTATTGAGTTGATTCTAACCCATAGTGACCCTATAGGACA